AAACTGCAGACCGCTGGACTCTTCAGTGATGGGAGCCAAAATTTATAGCATTTATTGTTTTCTTAATTCAAACTGAATTGGGGTTTTGTTATTTTTCAAAACAGATTTCTAATATATTATTTATTATTTTTGTGTAGATACAAGTAAAAGATATTTTTAATAATGTTATTAAAAAGAGCAAAAGGTGGCTGCTGACTCCCTGAGTCCAGGCAGTCAGTTCACAAACAGAGCTGCTGGGTAGCAGAGTTTTTCAGACAAGCCCTTAGCTAGTTTGGCTGGAGATATGAGGAGAGGAGGTTGGGAAGATCTCCTGGGAACGTTCCAGAAGGAGGGAGAAGGAGCAAAGTAACAACTGGAGCGGTTTCACCTGCTCTTCCTGCTTCTTGATTCGAGCCGGACACAATGAGGCTCCTTTAGCTGGGTAGCCAGCAATTACAGCACGTGTGTCAGGAATCCTGCTGAGCCAGGCCTTCTCCACCCTGGGCTGGCTCTGCCTTGGGACAGAAGGGGCTGGGATAGTTTCTCAGTTTGCTGGGATGGACTGGAGGCTGTGTGAGCCAGAGTTGGGACAGACAGAAGATGTTGCCAGGGCCCAGAGGATGGCTACACAGCTATTTCTCAGAACAGTTTCTGTGGAGGAGGAGGGGACAAAGCAGGGGGTGTTTGATCTCAGGGCATCTCGTTGAATGCCAGCTGTTTTTAGGGGTGTCTGGCTGCTTTTAGGACTCATATAATGCCTGCCTTACCATCCACATACTTTTCTTTCTTTTCTGAGATGTGTGTGTGTTGTGGATTGTGGTATGTGTGTGTGGTGTCTGCATGTGTGTCCTGGTATACATACATGTACATGTATACATGCTTAAGCACACCTGAGGCCAGAGCACCAACTTTGGGTGTCATTCCGTTAGCGCCATTCGCCTTGTTTTTTGAGGCAGGGTCTCTCACTAGCTTGACTGGTTAGTGAGCCCCAGGGATCTGCCTGTCTCTGCCTCCCCAGAGCTGGGGTTATAAGCATGTGCCACCATTTTTGCCTTTTTACATGGGTTCTGGGGGTTCAACTCAAGTTCTCACACTTGTAAGGTAAGCGGTTTATAGACTGGGCTAACTCCTGATCCCCAAGACCTTTTAAATCGTGCAAATTCACACTCTGTAGCAGAATGTGTAGAAGATTTATATGTGGTCTGGCAGGAAAGCCTACACCTGTATATGATGCCATTCGGGGTGGCAAGCAGCCGTTCACCAGCCGGGGTCCACATGCCTCGGTGCCTCTGAGCTCTTCTGCACCCCCTATGCCCCCAGAGGTTTCTACTCTCTTGGCTTCTGCAGTTTGAGCTTTGCTTTGTTCTCTCATTTGTGGCTTTCTTTTAAGTCAGCTCACTTTTTTATTTTTATGATTTGATTTTTTTTTTGAGACAGGGTTTCTCTGCATGGCCCTGACTGTCCTGGAACTTCTCTGTAGATGGGGCTGGTCTTGAACTCAGTTATCTGCCTCTCTTTGCCTCCCGAGCGCTAGGATTAAAGGGGTGAGCTGCCACCTCCCGGCAAGTAAGCTCACTTTTTAAAATATACATACATACATACATACATACATACATACATACATACATACATACATACATATTGTTGGGGATCTTCCCTAGAGCTGCCTTTTCCAAACCCTGCCTTTAGTACGCCAAGCAGCAGCCCCTTCTCTGGAGCTGTTTCCTTCAGACCCTGCCCAAAGAAAGCCTGCCAAACAGTGGCTCCATCCCAAAGAATATGTAAGGTCTGGCTCCACAGGCTTCCCCTTGTGGTTTTCCCATGATTTCTTCTTTTCCCCTGGGATCACTCAGGAGTGCCTAGCTTAGATTAAAACCTGAACTTTATTTCGACTTGATTGGGTTATTGTATCGGCAGAGTTACCCACTACCGGGCTCCTGGGGGAATATTCTTACCAATACATACATATGTACATACATACATACATACATACATATTATACGTACATATTAGGCAGGACTTTGTTACATAGCCCTGTCTGGTCTTCAAATTCGAGGTCCTCCTGCTTCCCTCGTACTGAGATTATAGATGTGTCTTCATGGCCATTCTTAAACTTCATTTGAATTTTTTATTGAGGTAAAATTCACCTTCTGTAAAGTCAACCCCTTGAGGTTCAGTGGCCTCTGTGTAGTTCCAAAACGTTTTCCTATCCCCGCGAGGGAGCCCCGAGTCATTCAGCCATCAGCAGCCTTCCTTCCTCAGGGCTGTCAGTCTACTCTGATGCTCCGAGTTTGTCCTTGAGTCTTAGTTCTAAGTGGAAACAAACAGTTATGGTGATCTTCTTTGTCTGCTGGCTGTTTCAGTTGGGATGATAGGTTTGAAATTCACCCATATGTCAGTACTTCATTACAAATTACATTAATTTATTTCCTGTTTGTTTTTTTGTTTGTTTGTTTGTTTGTTTTCTGTGAGGGAAGGCAATCAGTATGAGAATGTGTAGAAGTCAGCACAGCTTGACGGAGACAGTTCCCTCCTCCCAAGCGGGTGCTGGGGATTGAACAGAGGTCTTCGGGCTTGACGCCAAGTGCCTTCATGTGCTGAGCCAATTTGCTGGCCCCACTTTATTCCTTTTTAGAGACCGAATAAAATTCCATTATAAAAAGAAGTGTTTTTGCCAGGGCTGGCATTCTTCTTGGAGCGTTCTTCTTCTCCACGATGTATCTATCCTCATGAATGACTACTTCACCTCTGTATTTTGAAGATAAATTGTTCTCCGCAGCTCACGTGCTGAGTGAGGACTTGGAAGGACCAGGAGTGAAAAATCTGTCTTTCCTTTGGTAAAACTGCTTCTCTTAGATAACACCATCTCTGGGTTGTGGCGATGGTGGTGCACACCTTTAGTACCAGCACTTGGGAGGCAGAGGCAGGTGGATCTCTGTGAGTTCAAGGCCAGCCTGGTCTACAGAGTAAGTTCCAAGACAAACAGGGTGGTTACACAAAGAAAAATCTGTCTTGAAAAAAAAACATTTAAATGTTTTTCTTTTTGAGACAGGGTCTCATGTATCTCAGGTTGGCCTTGAATTTACTGTGCAGCTGAGTGTAGCTAGGGCTATATATAAGTAAGTGCCCCCATGCCTGGCTTAAGTGGTGCCAGGAAGTGAACCCAGGGATTCTTGTATGCCAGGCAAGTGCTCTACCAACTGAGCTATACCAAGTCTAGAAAACATAAGTCTTTATTCAATATCACCCTTTGGGGTGCAGGTTCCCAGGGGATCTCTGAACCATTAGGAAATGCTTGATGGGGTTGTCCTCACGCTTGACTTGACATAAGAATACCTCTGGACATAAATCCAGAGGACCAGTGACAGTTTCCTCAGGGGCAGAAAATCCTGGCCCCTGGAGGAAGCTCTGAGTGAAAGGCAGTTTGCAGGTGGTGGATAGCTAGGCCCACAGGCTCCACTACTGGATGGGGCAGGCACATGAATTACCAACTGTGTGGTTAGAAGAGAATTCTCTGTGCTTCAGTTCATTTGCAAGAGTACTCCAGGGGCCAGCACTACAGAAGGTGATGTGTGTGAGGAACCTCACAGAACCCCTAGCCAATAATAAGATCTGGAAAAATTTTTTTGCCACTCTTATTGTTCTTTTTTTTTTAAATTATTTGTTTGCTTTGTATGGGCACACATGCTGTGGCATGCATGTGGAGGTCAGAGGAAACTTAGTGAGTTGTTTTTTTTCTCTCTCTCTCTCTCCTTTCACATGTGTATTCTGGGGATTAAATTCAGGTCATTTAACTTGGCAGCAAGTTCTTTTACCCACTGAGCCAACTTGTCAGCCCGATTACTATTGTCCTGATAAGCTTCATACAACTAAACGTCAACATTGCGTTCAGTCCCATCTCAATCAGACTACGAAGAGGTAAGACATTATTCCTGTCTCCATAGAGTTCACGATCTAACAAGAGACATGAATGGATGAAAATGTATACCAAGGGGTGAGACGTGTGTGGCGCTAAAAGAAGGGTGAATGGAAAAGGAGAAAAGGCAACATTGCAGAAGTCAAGCAGGCGTGCAGATGGCTGGAGCCAGGAGGTGTGCACACCCATTTACTAGAGAACAATTAAGCCAGATGCTGTCGGTCTCACCTTTGACACACCCGGCAGCAGCTTCAGCCCTGCTGGAAGTATTCCTGTTAGGGTAACATGCCAAGGCTTGCCAGTTCTGTGGATTTGAGGGCACAGTCCCCAATCTCCTTTGAGTGGTGTCCAAGTGGGCGTCTGTTACATGTCCCCTCGGTACCGGTTGTAGCCCCCAGGAGTCCAGCCAGGCTTATGCCTTTAAGGCTTAGCTGCTTCAGTCCCCCCGGGGAGTGTCATGTAACCCACAGTCATCATGTAGGCTGGTGTTTGTTGTGCCCTAAGGTGATTTATGTAAGTGCTTAGCACAGCTCCCAACATATGACATCTGTTCCCTGACCCCTGAGAACCAGTGGAAATGCTACATGGGGCAGAGGCGGTGACTCTAGGTGCAGGCGTGGGATGTATGTATGGGGTGGAACCTGGGTCCTTCGCTCATGTAGGGTCCCAATAGCTTCTTTCATGAAGACCCTGGACTCCACCAGCCCCTGTCCCTGTGTGTCAATGAGTCCCCAAATGCAGGTCTTTCTGGTTGATGCACGAAGGACCTCCTTCTAGTCTAGATCCTGGGTGCTAAGCCTCCTCCTCTTTCCACCACAAGTGACATCAGCTTCATACTTAATGCACACAGAGACTGCATTCCGGATAGGGGAATGAGAGTGCTCATGCCCCCAAGTTAGGCTGCTTGGGTTCAAATCCAGGCTTTGCAACTTTCTGGCTATGTCATCTTGAACAAATAACTTGCTCTAGTTTCTATACCTCCTTAATGGACTAACCTAGGAGTCAGCAGACTATTTCTGGAAAAGGCCAAAGTTTTAATTACTCAGCTGTGTTAATTCAGCTTGCATAGCATCCATGAACAATGTACAAATAAATAGGCATGACCGAGTATCAATAAAACTTTATTTATAGACACTAACATTTGAACCTCATATAATTTTCATGAGTCACAAAAATTCTCTTTTTGATATATACATATGTATATATTAACTATGCAAAAATTATAAACACACACATAAACATCACACACACATACACTCACACTCATACACACACATATTCTCAGTTCAATTACAAAATAAAAGATTGGGTCTGTGGTCTGATGTTTGTTATGCCCTAGGGTGGTTTATGCAAGTGCTTAGCACAACTCCCAGAATACCACTCTCAAGTTGAAATTATGGGAATACCAATTGTTAGGAGTGTCTAGCTATGCCCTCTAACTGGCCCTTCTCTACCGCCCCACCCTACTCCCAGATGGGGACATCCTGCCACACCCCTTGGCCTCTCTCTACCGTGCCCTCTCCAAACACGCTCCTGGGCCCTGGGCCAACTGTCTGTCTGAGGACGCAGAGTACACCTTGTCCCAGTGTCAATGACTTAATTCAGCAACCAACAGTTGATACCCAAGGATGGTGCTAATTTCTTTGGTCACCCACATCAGGTGATGGCTGGCCAGCCTTGCTACCCAAGATCGTGTGCTTGGACTACAGCCTAGGCCAGGGATATTGTAGGTGAACTCCTGAGCTTGGGGCTCTAGAAGTACATTTCTCCTGGGGTCCTGTGAAGAGCCCACTGTTGACCAAAGCCATTGCTGCTGGCTCTCCAGCTCAGAACTGCCAAGTCCAGGTTGCAGGGTATAACTCGCCCTGGAAGTTATGGGTGTTGGGCGGGGCCCATCAGGTCCTTCTGTGGGTTCCCAAGCCACGTCCTGTTCACAGTAGGCTGTATCAAAAGCCCCAAGTGAGGATAGGGGGGCCTGTCTGTGTCAGAGAGTCTCCTTAGACTATGATTGTCCTCCGGTTCTGCCTCAGGACTCATTGGTCACCTGAGTGTCTGTGAGCTGGGAGGAAAAGGCACTGTCCAAGCGTAAGGTATTGTATCTGGGGGGTGGCGTGCCAGGCACCGGGGCTTCCGGGGCTGGAGGTAGGCGCATAGCAGAGGTGAAAGTGGGCAGGTCATCGTCTGTATCCAGAGCCGGATTATCCTGGCCCTGATGGCTGGAGTGAGTCTCAGGAGGGGGAGGTGCCTGCCTCCGGGCCCACCAATCCTTGGCTTTCTGCCACTGGTGGCGAGCGATAATAGAGAAGAAGTCAATGAAGAAGACTTCGATAATTTCGATGACACAGACGACAGAACAGCTCATCCACAGGCCCAGCTGTCCACCAAAGTTGGACAGAAGCATCTCAATCTGCAAGGGAGACCACGCTGTAACTTCAGGGCTGAGAGTCATGGCACACGCCTGCAACACAGCACTCAGGGAGCAGAGGGATGGGTGATTGCCAGTTCAGGGCCAGTCTGGGCTACTTAGGGAGACCCTATCTCAAAAGGGGGCTTTTCCCAATTGGCCTCAGCTACAGGCCTGTCTCCTCTCACTCTGGGCTTCTACTCTGAGGCTTCGGCCATCTTACACCAGGTCATATCCCCTCAGTGACTGTTCCTCTAGACCTGACAGATAGGCATATTGATGCACCTGGGACATGTTGGACAAGCCGACTACTCACGCTGTTGGCTGGGCTCTCCATGATGGATCTTTGGTTCAGGTCTTTGTAGAATATCAAGAGCTTGGCCAGGTCAGTCCTGCGAAAATTCCAAGAGGTGGGGCCCAGATGGGTGGGCAGCCTTGGCTTCCTGCCAGATGGCAGCATGGCTCTCATCTCCTTCCTGCCCAAGCCCCTATGGTGGCCTGTGCTCTGAACTCCCTCAGACTCTTTTTTTTTTTTTACCTTTTTTTTTCTTCTTTCTTTTTTTTAAATTTATTAAAGATTTCTGTCTCTTCCCCACCTCTGCCTCCCCTTTCCCTCCCTCTCCCCCAGTCAAGTCCCCCTCCCTCGTCAGCCCAAAGAGCAATCAGGGTTCTCTGCCCTGTGGGAAGTCGAAGGACTCTTAAAACCTTGTTCCTGTGTCTCTTTCTATACCTCAGAGTGCATTTCCAACTTGGACCTGGTTTTCAGGCCATCCATGCACTGAAAATACAAAAAAAATAAACTGTTTCTCAACCCCCAGAGGTTCCGGTTCACCCATCCACCCTCTCATTATATTTTGACATTGATAATTGTTTGATTGCCGTCTCAGACTCCTATAGGAGATTGGTGGGTGGTGCAAGCGAGAGAAGTAGGCAGGCTAAGGTAATAGTGACAATGAGTGCAATAGCATGTAGCCTTTATTAGGCACTTCTGATGTTGCCAAACTCTGCTGGAAGACCCTTGAGTGAATGAATGCAGCTCTCACAGTGTCTGAGGCAGGGAGCTGGGTTTTAATTATCCCCAGCATGGAAATTGAGACATACATTGGGGTCATTCACTGCATAGCTGACTGTTGAGTGAGCTGGTTCGAAGCCAGACCCATTTGGCTTCAAGGCCATGCCCTTAACTACCCTCCTCAATTTCTTCTGGTGGGAACAATGGAGCTGGAAGGCTCATGCTCGTTCAGAGTTTTCACTGCTGCACAGTCACGCGACATGGGGCAAGAGGGGGAGTCCCATGTTCACAGAACATTTAACCTTATAGGAAAAGCTGAAAAGAAAGGACGGCTTCATCGGGCCTGATTTGGCTAGGGGGTCACTGCTCTGCACCAACTGACTGACTGCACATGCTCAGTCTCTTTCTATCTGTTGTTTCTTTATTCGCTGTTTTGTTTGAGACAGTGTCTCAAGGTGTAACCTAAAGTTGCCTTGAACTCTTAACCCTCCTGACTTGACTGCAAAATTTTGGGATCACTGATGAGTTAACTCTATCCTTATCTTTTCACTGCAAACTCCATGGGGGGGTGGGGAGAGTCAGGGAGCATGTTTGGTTACCTGGATGCCCCCATTTTCCCCTAACAACTCATACACCATGCTCTGGTTTGGAGACTAGATTGACTTTTACCAGGGAAGACCCTAGGCTGGGACATGGTTATGGTCGGAAGTAGGCATGTGCATTGCCGGGGTTGCCAAGGTGACTCCAGCCTCTCTCACATTTGTCTCCATCTGCTGAGATTCCTGATCTCTGGCCTAGATAATTTTTGCCAAAAGTATCTCAGAAATGAATTTCTTTGTGAAAAATCTAAGTATGATTAGAAGACAGGATGCTAAGAGGACTATTTTTATAAGTCAGGATATACCAGCAAGTCCAAAGCAAGTTTGCTGGACTATGGTAGTGTCTGGTACATTACCAGCCCTTGAATCGACTAGGCAAAGCCGGGCATGGTGGGTCATGCCTGCGATCCCAGTACTTGGTATGTGGAGACAGGAAGCTTAGAAGTTCAAGGTTATTCTTAGCTACATAGTGAGTTTGAGGTCAAGTTGGGCTATACAAGATCCTGTCTTAAAGAGAAAATCAAAAGAAAAGAAAAAAGATGAAAAAATATCAGAATGTATTAAAGGTGAATCAAATGTTTGCCTGTTGAGCTGGTATAGGTACTAACCAATCAGACTGGTGTGTAGTGACCAATTAGGATGGAAACTCGCCCTCCCTCTGAGTCTGTTGGTTCTGAATCCGTATGTTCAACCAACCATGGAAGGGATGTTTTGAGAGGAAAAGTATTTACACCTGGATTGAACATGCAAAGACTTGCTTTGTGTGAGATTCCCTGAGCAATCCACTATGATAGCTATTTCCCTATGGAAATAGGTTCCATTTCCATCACACTGGGCACCATGAGGAATCTATGGATGACTTCAACGGATGAAAGGATGTGGTGGCTCGCATGCAAACGCGTCTCATTCCCCGTCAGGACTTGGACATTCAGGTATTTTGGTATTCATGGGGGGAGTCGTAGAACAGATCCCCTGAGGGCTGGCCAGAGCATTGTGTGCCATCTGAGAATCAGCCCAAGTGCTTTGTAATCAGAAGGAACTACTGTTGCATGCTTTATCCCAGTGATAGACTCAATGGGCCACCATGCAAAATGTATTTCAGAAGGCGGCTCATGGTCAAACAAAGGTCTGAGCAGAGCCTGGTTCATGACAGGGAGCTCAGTAAATATTTGTTGACTAAATGATTGAATGGACGAAAAGGAGAGGGCTTGGCAATGAGGAAGCAAGCAAAGGGCCCAGGAGCCTGTGGCGGACAGAGGCAGAGGGAACTGGGTGGAGGCAAACTTACTTGTTGAGTTTTTTGTTTATTTGTTGGCCTCGGTCCCAGGTGAGAACATTCAGCAACCATTTCTGTGATGGAGAAAGAAAGAGTGGGCCTAGGGCTACCCACTGCCCTCTTCCTCAGCCACACCCCCTTTCTCTGGCCTTGGCGGTATAGGTCGACCCACCTGGGAACTGTGCCCCCAGTAGTAGAATAGATGAGGACAGCAAGGACTCGGGGTGGGGGAGGGGTAGAGCTTACCTCGGAAGCCTCAGAAGGCCACTGCGCCAAGCTGGTGGTCAGCGTCCATTCCTTAAAGCTTAGGGGAGAAGGGTACAGAGTGAAGATGGGCTGCTGGCTCAGCACAGCCCTGCCTGCCCTGTTCCTCCAGATCTACGCACCTGCAGGCTTGCTTGCACACTGACTGGCAGCCCAGCTCTTCTCGGACAAAGGCCTGGTACAGTTGGTAGTAGCAATACACTGGGGATAGGGTAGAAAGAAGTATGAACTTTGGAGGCACAGCACCCTTCCTAGGGTCATCTGGGGAGCTCCCACCATCTTGGGTTAGTTATTTATTTCTGCACCTTTTACAAATCCTGTCTTTTTGGGGGGGAGAGGGGAACTAATGCTGGTTTGTGATCTTAGGAAGTGGTATCTTTTCCTGATTAAAGGTATGAGTTGGGAGCCAGGTGTGGTGGTGCACGCCTTCAATTCCAGCACTCAGGAGGCAGAGGCAGGGGGATCTCTGAGTTTGAGGCCAGCCTGGTCTACAAAGTGAGTTCCAGGACAGTCAGGGGCACACAGAGAAACCCTGTCTTAAAAATAAACAATCAAACAACAACAAAAAGACCTGAGTTGGGGGTTAGGCAGCCCTTGGGTTCAGTTCTGTGACTTCTCGCCTGTGTGTCCTCAGGTAAGTGACTTAATCTTTCTGAACCTTGGTTCTCTGTTCTGTGTAAAAGTACTATCAACAGTGCCTTCTAGAGTTGACTATGTAGGCAAGCACTGGCTGGGCCATAGCATTTACCCACAATTGCAAAGTACAATCCAAGCCAGGCTTGGTGATAGAAAGGGCCTTTAACACCCTTTTCAGGCAAAGGGCAATCTGGACTGGGCAGCCTGTTGCTGGCCAAGCTGGTTCCCCGCCTGGGATGTGCAAGGCTGGAGGTGGGACCACTCACTCCAGTTGGGGTGCTGCTGGTAGTTGCAGTAATTGGCTGCTGGAGGTAGAGGCTGGCTGTACTGGGCACAGCCACATTTCTCCACCATCTTCGTCTGGAAGCATGAATAAAGGCAGATCTGAAAGAGAATACCCAAGAATGTTCTGACCCTCCTTGCGGGTGAAGGCCAAGAACTCCCTGCCTGCATATCTTACATTCCAAAACCTTTCCTATCGTGCTGGCCGGATCACACACACATAAAATTAAAGAAAACAAAATGGTTAAAAAATTGTTTTAAGATCAAGTTTTTTTTTTCAGGAGAAGCCCAGCATGGAATTTCTCTAGCTTTCTTCAGAACTGAGCCAAGAGGTGATGTGAACATGCCTCTTTCCTCACAAAGAGGGACTGTTAGCCTGAGAACAAAAAAATCATGCTACAAGCAAATGGACTTGAGACCCCCCCCTCCCAAAGTGAATTCATTAGAATGATGCCCTCGGTAATGTTTCTTATGGACAGCTATTTTAATATATTTAGGCATCTCACGCTCAACACAATCTTGTGGAGTAATATTGTACTTAATTCAAAGATGAGAAAAGACAGAGCCACTGTTGGACTAAGTGGCCTGAGGTCACGCAGAGGATAGACTGGCATTTGGGCCAGGTGTGGTGGTGCACACCCGTAATCCCAGCACTCAGAAAATGGAGGCAGGACCATAGCAACCTGGAGGGCCAGCCTGAGCTACATAGTATGTTCAAGGCCACCTTGGGATACAAAATAGGGCCCTGTCTTTGAAACAAAACAGAAAACCCTGAGATGTAAACCTGAATAGCTTGGCTCTGCAGCCCCTACCCCACCCTAGAAGCTTCCTGGGTCTTACGGTCATTATCCCGAGAGACCCAGTATGGAGGACCCAGCACTAAGTGGTGACTGTTAGGACTGTATTCCTCACTGCTGATTGGCAGTTGCTCCAGATTCCCCTTTCACCTTGGTGTCAACACTCATATGATATGAAATAGTCTTGGAACCTCATTTGCCATATAGACTAGCCTGTGAGTTTCTAGGCAGCCACCTGCATCTACTGCCCATCTTGCCATCGCTAGGGTTGCAGGCACATGCCTGGCTTTTTGTGTGGGTCCTGAGAGTCTGAACCCATGTCCTTGTGGGTTCTGAGGCAAGTGCTTTTACTGCCTGAGCCATCTCTCCAGCACCCCACCCCTGGTCTTTATATTCTGCCAAGATGATATCTGTGGGCTTTCTAGCACCCCAAAAGGAGGCCAGCTTCAGCGCTCCAGTATGCTGAAGGAGGGACCCAGCCCACCATTCACTGACTGCACTTAAGGGCCGAAAACTGCATTGCCTATAGGGCCAGTGATGCCATACACTACGGGGTCAGATCTGTGGATATCAGTCATGCTGTGCTGGTTTAATGTAGTGGCTTCTCCTGTGGTTTGTCCTGCTGGGATATGGGTTCCCAGATCCCAGATCACTTCATTTTTATTTTTTCAGGAGAAGCTAGAAATGATGGATTTTCTTGTGGCCTTTCCTGAATTTTTAATGCCATTCTGGCTAGAGTAATTGATGTGCAAGCTGGAGGAGTCCAGGAGCTGCCAGTTAGCTCACCCTGATCCAGCACAACTCTGTGACTGTCAAGGGGATACAACTTGCCCAAGTCATGGGGCACAAACATATCTGGAAGCCAAACTTTTGACCCCTCTGCCAGCGTCTCCTGCTGAAGGTTTCCTCTTGTCTAGCCTTTGCCAAGGCCCATTTAGCAAGTAGACCTGTCTGCCTTGTACATTGTGTTCCACATAAACCTCAGTAAGTCAATTAAGCTCTGGTTACAGAGGACCGAAGAAGACTGGAACCAGCTGGCATCATTTGTACTTGAGGTCTCTGGACCAACCCCAGATATCCTCACCCTAGTTCCTGGTCCCAGGCACACCTCAGCCTAGATATAACTTCATCTTTTGGATCCAGGCCATGACCCAGAGATGAGGGCCCTGCCGTGCCATACCTGGAGGGAGTAGGCAGCGTTGTAGATATTCGTGATGGGCACATCACTTCCGTCCTCTGTGCACTGGCTGTAGGGTTCACTCAGCTTGAAGGATTCCGTCTGCAATTGCAACAGCACACAGTCATCTATGCCTTCCTAGGGACCCAGATGGGAGCCCCCGTCCCAAAGCTAAGTAATCATTTAGTTACTCCCCCAAGTTTACCAAGTACCTAGTAGGTCTGGTGCCATTGAAGACACTGAGAAATCCACAATGAGGAAGATTGAGAGGTGCCCTGCTCTCATTGAGCATACATTCTGGAAGGGTATACGGCCAGGCGGCCAATACAATACCTTGCCTTACTAATTTATTAGTCAATCAATGGGATGGGGCTGGGCAGACAGCTCAGTGGGTAAAGTGTTTGGTACATACGTATGAAGACCTGAGTTTAAATCCCCAGAGCCCACATAAAGCTTGAAGCGCTAGATTCTATGAATATAATCCTAGCACCCTGACAGGGAAATGTGAGGTAGACAGAAGACTCCCTGGAAGCCTATGGCCCAGCTAGCCTGGGATATGACAACCCCCTAATGTGACTTTGACCTCTATATATGTCCTGTGGCACAAACATCAAGGCATGTGCATAGACACACACACACACACACACACACACACACACACACACAGAGAGAGAGAGAGAGAGAGAGAGAGAGAGAGAGAGAGAGAGAGAGAGAGAGAGAGATTTCTTTTAATGAGATTAATTTTGAATAACGCTCAAGGTCACTGGATAGAAAGACTTAGGAGAATGAGACAGTCAGTCTTCCATAGGGACGAGAAAGGCATCTCTGAGAAAGGGCCCTTTGGTAGAGACAAAGACTAAAATGAAGAAAATTCATACAGTTTAATGGTCATTTGTATCCTGATCTATATCTCTCACATGGACATCAAGAGCCGTATGCCTTGCCTGTCCAGGCTCCAGAAAAGCTGGCAAATTTACTACTCTACATGATAAAAAAGGGTTTGTTTGTCTCCTCAGAGGTGGCCTGCCCAAGAGCCTTACAGTGGTGAAATGAAGTAACTCCCCACTTAACTGCCCTGAAAGAACTCTTACCCCTTCGGAGTGATCTGGGCCTCACTGGGTCATCACTCGCTGCACTTCTGTGAGGTATTTCAATAGATTCTCTTTCTCTGCTTTTGGTCTTGGTAAATTCTTTTCTGGCCTACAATGGTTATTTTTAAATATCAACTTGCCAAACTTAACCTCACCAGGGTAGAAACCCTCAGCTGAGTAATTGTCTTGATTAGGTTGGTCTGCGGGTGTGAGTGTGAGAGGCTGGAGTCTTGATTATTGCTTGAGGCAGGAACACTGGCCCCAATGCAGGTGGCACCATTCCCAGGTTTGGACCCTTGGACAGTGTAAGAGTGGAGGGACAGCTGAGGGGCGAGCAAGCAGACAGCATGGGTGTGTCCGTTTCTCTCTACTCTTGGCTGCGTGTGATGTGACTAGTGCTTGGGCTCCCATTACCCCTCTGAAATGACAGACTATGCCTTGGAGTCATGAGGCATATAAGCCTTTTCTTCCACTAACAACTGCTGCTCAAGGTGAGCTTTTGTTGTTTGTTTTGTCTGTTTGTTCAGTGTTTATCACAGTGATGGACTGAGACAAGGACCAGAACCATACCACCACTTTTCCTCCATGGTTTCATAAATCACCTTTTAATGTTGACTCAATATAAAGCTAAATTGGTAAAAAAAAAAAAAAAAAAAAAAAAAAAAAAAAAGAGTTAGCTGGCCTTGTGGAGAACTGGGGGAAGAGTGCCAGGCAGCAAAGATTGAAGTAGGAGGGGTCGTGGGGCCTGGAATAGGGGCTGGGAATGTAGCTCGTGGTAGAGCTCTTATCTAGAGTTCAATTCCCAGTTTAGGGGTCAGGAAGAAAGGTCCCTGGAAACAAATTAAAGAAGGAGTTAAGACAAAACCACCCTGTTTGCCTGCTGAGAAACCTGGATTTGGCTTCCTGAATGGTAATAAGCCATCTGTGTATCTGCTGGGAGCTGGAGGAAGGTTAGAAAGAAGCATGGGGCTGTGAGTTGCGTAAGGTTCCAGTCTCTTCAGCAGGGCCTGCTTCCTTTCCTTTTGGTTCTGGACGTTGACTGTCTTAGAAGAATCAAAGCCCTTATCCACCCATGTACAGCAGTTCGCCAAGTTTGCCTCCAGTTTAATATATGTCAAAGCAAATAAATGATCCAGACACAACAAAGACGGAAAAACCAAAAAGAACCAAATGAACAATAACAACAAAAACAAACGAGGATGGAGAGGCATAACATCTCTGAAGTGGAGCAAAAACTAAACAGAAATCATAGCCAGCCTAGCGTGAGGGTCTGCGGTCTGTTTAATGTGAGGATGCATGTGTGTTGTAGGTCAGGGCTAAGGAGGCATAGGATGGCATGGTTCTAAAAGAAAGAATGATAACCCGGCAAAACAAAGAACGGGGAGGCTCCGCACAGATAGAAACAGACCAGAAGTGTGTGGGAAGGCTACTCTCTCTCTCTCTGTTTGTTTTGTAATTCATTTGCTGACCCATTAGTCTCCCTCAATTAACTCTGCAAGTTCCTGAAGGGCAATTGGCCATGCTCACTTTGAAACTCTGGAGCCTCAGAAGTAAGCAATGGGGAAAGTGGCTGCTTCACCTTAATGAACCGACAGACAGACAGACAAAAGCCTGTTCTTTTCACTAATATCGCTGATAACAGATGAGCTTGCTTCCAGCCAGGGCAGAATCAATGGACTTAAAGCTGAATGGTGAATCCGTTTAGAGATTCTAGTGTCTGCCAAGGCTGGGCTGGGAAACAAGATGCAGAGGAGTCAAGCTGTAGCTCTGCCCAAGAACACCTTTATTCCTTGTCACTCTCTGAGCTGTTCTGAGCTGCAAGCTCCCTAGGAATCTTGGGGCCCAAGAATCCTGCGGACATGTCCATGGGCACTCAGAAAGCATCGAAGTCATAGACTCCAAATAATGTCGCAGATCCCAGGGATCTTTGTTTGCAATGGTGCTTGTTTTCCTAGTGAGGCTGTCTCCTCACTCACTCCCGATAAATGGAGGTCTTTCCTTCAGAGGTTCAGTTGGAAGACCTTTGTCAGGATGCTTTCCCGCCCAGCCACAACTCCCATTCTGATTCATATCGACTGATCCCCAGATTCTATTCTGTGGCAAAAGTCAGCTTCATCTGGATAAAGGTCTCTCTAAAAAGAACTCCGGCTGCACAAGGAAGAGCCGTGTCTCCTGCTACCTGCACAACACCCACATCCTGTCTCAGGGCCACTAGAGACACTAAAGCAAACTGGTTTCCCAGATCCCCCAGAGCAGGACTGCAATTGGCTTCCACTGTGTCCCTTTCAGGGTGAGACTTCTTGGGAATGAAAGATTTTCCCTGTTGCAGGATGGTTGCGCTCACCCCACCTAACTCCAGAGGATGTAACTGAGATGGCGCCCTAGGATGCTCATAGAAGCAGAATCCAGACACCAGCCCTGACCATCTTATCTGTTCATACACCAACGGTAGGATTCTGAGTCCTCCCTCCTAAGGGGCCCCTTCTACATTATGGCCAATGGACAATTGTCCCTACACAAGCTGCAGTGACAGGTTCGCTAGTGATGCAATCAGAAGTGGGAGCGGGGGAGGGGCTGAAGTAAGTCTGAATTCTGCTTTCAGCTGTGCTCCCTCAGACTGAATGACTTGACTTCCGTAGGCCTCAGTGTTCTCTGAGAAAAATGTACAACACACTTCTGATAAGTCTCTAACCTGTAAGGTGTAGGGAATTTTGATGGTCAGCCTGACAGTATTTCGAATCACCTAGAAAACACATCTCTGGGTATATCTGCGAGGATATTTCCAGAAATGCTTACCTGAGGAAGGAGGACCATTCTGAATACGGCCACACTATTAACTAGCGTCATCTCTGTGTGTCCTGACAGAGGAGGAAATGTGACCAGTTACTCCTGCCACACCATAGTGAGCTGCAGCTGTTTCTGCCTAACCATGGTGAGCTGCGTCCTCAAACTGGGAGACCAAATAAACCCCTTTATCTTTAAGGTATTTTTGCCGGGTATTTTGCCATGTAAGGGGAAAAGTAAGAAAAATATCAAGCCATTTCATTGAACAACTAATAAAATGAACTTTCTAATAAAACAAGGTATGGTAAGATCTTGCTTATCTCCCACTTCTCTGAGGAGGACCTTCCTCGGATGCCCTGCAGGACTGCTGGGGAGGGAAAACAGCAAGCTTGCCCTAGTGTGGTAGCGGCTGATGTCAGCACAGGTTCAGCATTCTCCCTAGAGGAATGGGAGTTGTCAATAGGGAACTCCTGCCTTCCTGGCCCCTCCCCACCACTTCTCTTTCTTTTTAGTTTGGAGACAAGGTCTAACTATGCAGGACGGCCTAGAACTTGTAAGCCTCCTGCTTCGGCCTCTTGAGTATTGAAATCACAGATATGTGTCTCCCTACCTGGTGACTCAAGCTCCTAGCTCTCAGAACATTGCTGTTGTTAACTTGAGTTGTTTATTTGCTTTTCACTCTGAAGCAGGGGTTTTGTGCTGGCGCCAAGCCCTGTTCTGTGACGGAAAGTGTATTTGATCTGAGATTTTCTCCCTTTGAAAATGTAACGCTTGCCAGGAGGTGGTGGCTCAAGTCGTTAATTCCAGCACACGGGAGGCAGAGGCAGGAAGATCTTGGTGAGTTCGAGGCCAGCCTGGTCTAGAGAGAGTTCCAAGACAGCTAGGGCTACACAGAGAAACCCTGACTGGAAAAATAAAACAAAATAAATATAATACTGGGAAGGAGTGCTTGTATAGAGCTGGGGTTCCATCCCCGACAACACATACATCAGGCATGACAGGATATCATGACAGGCTATCCACACAGGGACTGGAGGCAGGAGGATCAGAAATACATGAGGCTGTGCTGCACAGAAAAACCCTGTCTTGAAAAACAAAAATAAAACAAGACCTATGTAACACGAGTTTTTGCCAGGAAAAAAAAAAAAACAAAAAAACTAAGAATCACAGTGATAGTCTCCCATACAGCTGCTGAGACAAAAGGCTGTTTCCAGCCCAGAGTTCCTC